AATTCTACTTTTACACAAAGACAAGTTTAACTTTTCACTTAAAAAATAAGTTCTTTCCTGTAATTGAAGACCTGGCTCTTAGCTATTTTTACATTTTCCTTTCCTCAACAGGTTTGTTAATAATTTTGGGGGTGGTCAACCTGCACACAGGCTTTTTGCCCATTTGCGAGGCCAGATGGAACCAGCTAATACAATTACAGAAACAGATGATACTTACTGCTGGACAAGGGCATACAATAATAATACCCTCTCCCAAAAGCACTTTTGGAAGGTAAACAGAACAATGTTCACTTTCATGGCATGCCGGTACCTCCCATGCAATGCAAGCAGTTTAAAAAGGGAGTTTGTATGACCCCAAAGTAGAAATCAGTGGGAAGACATCAGTCTGCTCTTACACAATGGAGGATTACCTTCTTTGGTTTAGATATACACATGATTTAGACCCTGTTTGAAGTTATGAGCGTTTAGTGTCTCACGTGTGAAAGCCAATATGAACACACACATTCACATTAATGATCAAAGATTCAGTAGAAAACACAGCAAGGCAGTTTTAGCATGCTATTAACAGCTATTACAAATGTTAATTGTTCCTTAAACATTTCTTCTAAATTAGCGTTAGGACTGCTTGCTAACTTCAAAATAGCTAGTAGTCATCATGTTAATTCTGAAATATAATTGTAGAGAACAGGGGCTCGGGCAACTTGAAAAGGAAAGCCAGTAACAACCAGGCAAGTCAGAGTATTTGTACTGCTGGCAACAGTTTCTCATCTGGATAAAGCCAGGAGTAAACTACCTGCAAATCATGGAAGATGCAACAAAACAGACAAGCTGGACTTCATATTTACACACTAGATGAAAGTGCATCTTTTCATATTCAGTGACTAAATGCTGAGCAGAAGTTTTATTCAGAAGGACTTTTTGTTCTCAGAACCCTTTAATTTTACACAAAATCTTAAGTCTTTTAATGTACAGAAAGAGAAAATAATTCCCATTACATTTCCATGTTGCAGCTCAATTTCAAACCTAATTATTTTATACCTCAAGTCCTGTTTCCCCCTTGTTTATGGCCAAGATGAACATATGGTTCCTGCCATCACCAGAAGTAATAATGCAACACACCAGATCCCTGTAGCGAGAGTGAGATTTACATTCAATATTCCAGCAGCACAGATTCAGGTTAATCTGTGCGTTTTCCCTTGTTTCATTACTATACTAGTTGATTACACTATATTATACTAGTTGATCTCCATGAAGTTCCAGCTTTTAGTATTCTTTATTTTTAAATCAGTCAAGTGGAGTACAATTTCACTGCACTGTCCCATAGTACTAGGGTTCAGGAGCAGAAATGGAAACTTAAAATCATTTAAAGATGCATAGTAATTCATCTGGACTTCCTTCCTCTTTCAATACAATCTGTTCCTCACCAACATAGGCACAGGACTCCTCAAAATTCTGATTTAATTGTTTTAATTGCAATTATGCAATTTAAAAAAAAAAAAATTGTATCCAAGGCCAAATAAGCCAAAACTAATTCCAAATCCAAGAGACCAGAACCATAAGTGGCCCTACTACCAGCAAAAATCCTCCACCTGCACCTGGGGCTTCAGATGTTTCCAAAACCTTTGATAGGCATCCTACTTGCAGGCCCAAGCCCGGAGTCTTGGGGTTCAGATGCCCCTGAGATTTGCTTGCCCTTAGCCATCAGGCCCTCAGAGCAAGCAACGGAGAAACTGAAGCAACTAAGGAAGCCTGACAAATCTTGCATGTTCAGTTCAAGCTTGGTGTCTCGCCAGCAAGCCACCCAGGAGAAGTTACCCTTTCATATACTGAGGGTTACTCAATCTGAGTGAACAATCTGTGTTCTGCCAAAAATAACTTGTGATAGTGGGAGCAGCAATGACTACTGTAGTTAAGGTTGCATAACTGTTTTCATTATAACCCAAATCAGTCAATATTAATCAGGAGCTGAAAAAGCTCTCCAACACCAACTGAGTCTAAGTTTACTACCCCATATAAAAAGCACATCATGCCCTCATGGAGTCTTCCTCCCTAACCTGCATTCAATTTACACTGCCACCCCTTTGTTCTCTCTTCAAAACAAATCCTCCTCCACTCCTAATGAAAATTAATCAGTTCACACGTTCTTAAATTCCGGGTTTTCCCAAAAAATATTAAGTCCAAGCTGTTTTCTCACATGTTTCTGTGTTCTCCAAAAACATTTAAAATGCTGAATCAGTAAAGCCATTAGCTGTAGCTGTGAAGGTCTGTGAGCATCCCAGTGAAAATTAGTTTAAACTTAGCCAAGTTGTGAGCTGTTAAAAATAGTGCATCTTTGCATGTCTTCCCATAAACTTGTTGAGCAGTGAAGTTAATGAAGAAGGCAACAGCTAATTTAGCAGCTTTGAGAAAAGTATGTGCAGATGCATGTGGATTGAGGCAGACTTGGTAAAATACAAAGAGCTTACAAAGAGAGTTGCTGTGCCTCATACAAAGTGATCATTGATGAAGACAGAGCCCTGCTTCAACGTACCTCAAAGAAATGCAAAACTCTTGAACTCTTGGTTCAGAGATAATACCTTTTATAAAACGTTTTGCATTTATTTTTAAATCAGACCAGCACAGTTACCAAATACATCCACTCAATATACCTCAGAAACTCTCCAGAAACCAAAAGCATATCATCACCACTTCAGAGACAAACCCAGGGCACTGGTGGAAATCAACAGCTGTCAGCTTCCTATTGCTCACCTCGGAAATAAGTTAGTAGCCAGTTTAGCATGGTCCTAATCATGCACAAGAAACACACCTAAGACAGCCTGAAAGCAACTCTGAACAAGAGCAAATGGGACAGGACATGATTCTCAGTAACACCCATGAGCTCATCATGGAGGCAGTCAGTCTAGATGTGTCCTAAAATTTGAGAAAGCAATTTCCCCTTGCAGACCTCTTTAAGTACTACTGTATGTGGAGCACGGTGCTCAGATACCGTCTGGAACTAAGTAAGAGTTGCATTCTTACAAACTTGGAAGCACTGTGATCTTGCAAGAAATTGGCAACAGCATGCTCAGCTTTTGTAATCATTGTGCATATCTACTATGAGTCTTTAATTACATGACCACATTTTCCTCTCTAAAAACCAGAAACTAAATAGAATTGTGTACAACTTTACACTGATATAAGTGTGTTCTACCATGTCCAGCAGGAAAAGCAAATTCTACCAAAGTACATGGGAAATCTGTTGGCATAACGCACCAAGTTATTCAGCTGAACTTTATACTCAACTGCTTCAACCTCTGACACATCTAGAAAAGGCAGTGTTGCTTCTAGAAACAAAGGTGTGTAGCATATTGGCACTTGGAAAACCATAATGAGCCTGAGGCATTAATAATGTAGACTAGAGAAAAAAAACAGAGCTCAAAGGAGGTCGCTATGTGCAACACCATGCACAAGGCAGGATCTTCTCTGGCTAAACCATCACAGCCAATTTGTACATAGTAGTCAATAACTACAGTGAAACTAATACAAGTATAAAAGCATGCTTTCAGATGCTTCACATTCCTATCAGAGGGTTTCAAAACTTTATACAGCATATTCTATTTCTTAATAAAATGTAATTATGGAATAGAAAATGTATTAAAATGCATAAGCACAATGAGTGTATTAAGGTTGGAACATGCATCAAAATGATAACGTATTGGTTTGTAATACAAACACATTACCTGAGCACCGGTTGCTTTTTAAATTAAGGTGCCACTTCAAATACTACAATTGGTCTCATTTATTAGAGCACACATTGCTAAATTTAAACCATGCATACAAGAGTCAACTTGATGTAGAACAAAGTGGCAATGCCCAGAAAACATGCCTTAAGTTACCTTGTACTGTCCTTAGATTAGTATACGCGCACATGATAATTTACAGCAAATTAAATACAATAGATCTCTGATACTTTTACGAGTTTTCCAATGCAATAAAAGCAATAGTAAAATACAGTTTAACGTAAATAGTACTGTTTTACAGAGCATGTCATTGGCGATATTTTACACACAGGATTTTTTTTTTTTTAAATAAAATTCATTTATTGAAGTTTGGTTTGAAAATAGAAAACATTTGCATAATCAACTAGATGTTTTCTGTATTTTCTTAGTTTGCAAAGATTCCATCCATTAAAAAAAAAAAAGCTAGATAGAAATCCTGTTTTGAAAACATGAATTTTTCTGTTTTTCAATTAATTCCATTAATGAAATGGAACAGCTTTTTTGGAGCCAGCTGAGGGTATAGTTCCCAGAAGACTGGGAAGGTTTATTTTTGGGTGGGGGTTGTACAAGGCTGGCTGAGTTCCTTTTTGAATTATCTTAAAGCTGCTGGGATTTTGTTGCTGTGCTAGTTACATTTTAAGATACTTAGAACCTTACCCTAGTCATCTTTACTTTTCAATCTAATATAAATAAAACAACAATGCATGTCACCTTCAACAAGCAACAAACATAAAAGATGGCACAGCTTGCTGTGAATAGTTAAAACAATGTTATTCTTAATGGAAGAGTGATCCTGAGATCACTAAATAAAGCAAGAAGCAATATATATTTTTTAATAAATGCATAAAACATTGCCTAATTTATGATACAAGAAACAACAGAAAAAGACAAAATTGACTTTCTAGATTATGGTAGCTTAACTTCCATGCAAATCTTTTTTAAAGCTAACCATTGGTACAGGAGAAGAACATCAAAAGATGCCTTTTAACATACTCCAAAATTAAGCAACGCAAACAGCCTTATACCACTTTGTCCTCTGAAACTTTAAATGAACACTATACCTATACATATCTCCACACATGCACACTCCCTTTCTTGGTGGGAGAAGTACTCCCCACCAAAAAATACATATGCCGAAGGTAGAGTCTTAAGTACAGTGCAGATCTCACAAAAATAGGCCTAAGTAAAAGGATGAGAGGGAACTTCACCACATGCAAAACAGTATCACCTATGGTAACCTACCTCAATGTCCTGTAGGCTGAATTCCTTCTGATCTTTGAAGTTTGCAGCTCCAGCGCTGAGTTCCATCAGCATTTTTGCTATTTCTGGTTTTATTGCTGCTGTGAGTCGACTTGCTGCTTCCATGACATGTTCCTGCACGTCTTTCAGTTGCATAGCTGCCTTAGAATAGTGCGAGTTCCTAAATACACTGCTGAAAAGGTCTGTAAGGAAAGTGCTCGCACGGCAAAACACATTGAGTGCATCCAGGTACTTGGAGATTCCCTGCTGGATGTCTGCAATTGGAGTAGTATGGGACACAGGATGGTTGCAGCTGCCTGCAGCAGCTGAGGGGACCAAAGGGGATGCTGGGGTAGTAGATGTCAGCGGTGCGCTCAGGGTCCTGCCTAGCTCAGGCATTTGATACTGCTGGTGTTGCTGCACTTTTTGCTTGGACCCGCCAAGCAAAAAGCGCCGCTTATAGTCCATTTTACTTTCCTGCGCACTACAGCAATACATAAGTGAGTAGTTGTCCAAAAAACTCTTGAATTAACAACCTGTTGTCAGATTTCTTCCTCAAAACGTAGTTACGTGTAGTAATAGTGGAGGACTGCGTATGCAGGTTTCATAAAAGGCATTTCAAAAAGGCAAGCGTCTGTATAATCTGTATCAGCAGTGAGAAAGGCAGCAGATTTGCTGACTTAGTATTTTCAATGTTCAGTGCAGCCCTGCTGCAGTTACAAACCGTCCTCAAAAAGCAAGTTGAAGAATCTCAGAAACGCTGTCTCTGGGTTGGTAATCTCCTCTACACACTAGATGCAACTGAGGAGCAGAAAAAGATTTCTCTCTTACAATTTCTTTGACAGCATGTTGTTGAGACCTGATGTTAAAGTTTATAAAAGTTATTTTTGTCAATGTAAATCATCTTTTGTTAGTAATACCAAGAAAGAAGTGGAACAAAACCACTGATCAACAGTGATTATAAAGCAGTGCAGAGGCTCTTCCCTTGAAAAAGCAAGACCTATGTCAGCAGATCAAATATCTTCAAGGTATCGTCTGGACAGATCCAGTCTGTCAAATCAGTTTACTTGTAGTGTCTCTTCGTAATACTGAAAGGTTAAAAAAAAATCTGTCTTGCTTTCTGAAGACTTTGCAAGGACAAGTTATTAAAAATTTAGTGTTTATTATTGCAAGCCTTTGCCTCCCTTCCTTCTGTTTGTTGAGGTAGTTGTTTCTGTTGTAACCTTAATAAGTGGTGCTTCCAGATTGAGTTTGCCCTCAATTGTAAAGCCTGAACAAGAATGCACAAATGTATTTGTAAGGCCTCTAGGTCATTTCCTGTCAGGAAAAAAAAATAAAGTTAGAAAGGTTAGGAAACAATGAGCAGTTTTGTTAAGATTTTAACTCCTGCTGCGTCCTGGTATATTTTTCTTTGGGTAAGCTGTCAACAATACATCTGATCAAAAAGGAGAAGGATTTAAATTTTTTTGAAAGCAGGTTACAATTTAATACAATCAAATTAATAGATTCAGGACTATTGCATAGTCTCTCATGACAGCTCTCATCTTTAATAAATAGTATCTTCTAAACTGCTGAGTTTGGGATCAGCAGATAACCACGGGTTTCACTTCACCAGTGTCAGCAACAGTAAAGGGCTGTGCAATAGGCAGGGCTCTAAGGTTTCAACCCATCATGTTGTCAGGACATAAACATTTTGTCAATCTAGCAAAACAATATTTATTAACTACACTTTTAACACAATATTTAACTCAATCCAATTAACTCGATATCTAAAGCAATACAGTTGCTGGTTTTCCCCCCAGAGTACAGTTGTGAATGTGATTATGTAGGGCTACCACAAAATATACTATTGTTTTTCAGTGCAACTTCAACAGTCCCCATGCTGTAAGGAGTAGCACTTGAGTTATTCAACAAAGAACAAATATTCCTTTCTCTATGTGCCTAATTTAGTATATACAAGCTGTGTTAATATTTCAGAGATGTTTCCTTAAGAGCTAATCTTAAAATTAATTATTCTGCTTCAGTACCCAAATTCAACATTTCAATATGCACCGACTTCTGTTTTTAAGGAATTCTCCCAACAGGACTTTAAATGTCATGTGCTTAACTGGAAACTTTTAACTTGCTAGACAAGTTTAAGTGCCCTGGGGAAAACTTGATTAAATGTCAGTTTTCCTGATAGCATATATATGCAGAGAGCGAGACAGCATTGGTTATCAGTTTGTATGCAGGATGATACTAAGAAGTAAAATGCACTGCAGTATATTTGTCAGAATCCTGTAAGTTTTACTTATTTGAAATGCATTACCAATAGCTATTTACTTTTCCCCAAAATTTAGGGGTTCTATTTGCTAAGGGGCCCAGAATTTCAGACCACAACAGAAACATCAAGACTTATCACACCCAGTATCTTAAATAAAACTAGGAGAGACATTCAAAGGTCATGGTAAAGATTGCATTATTTAAAAAATATACAACATATAAAGTAATAACATCTGAAATATAAAATACAGAACAAATTTGTGTTTATGCAGCATATTTTTTATGTATTTTGCTCAGCTTGAAGTAAGAAAAATAGGCTAATCGCTAACTTATTTTTAGGTAATTTCACTGTCATATCTGCATGGGTTAGCTTAAATTTAAACATGACGTGTTTACACTTTGCTTTTCTGAACTGTTTTTGTAGACAAGGAAACAACAATCATGCTCAGGAAAAAGCTTGCCTCCAAGAAGGGAACTGAGTTATAATTTAAAATTGAAATTTCACAAAAGGAAATTGTTCATTCTTCTTGATTTCTTAAAGCAGTATGGTCATGGGCATACCCAACAGTAAAAATATTCAGTCGTGAGAACATCTGAAATTCCTATCCCTCTTAGGGTTTCAGCACTCCTACAAGCCATACCATGTTATTCTTGACCTTGAGCATATATATTCACCATAATTACATTTGCAACATATATTGCGCAAAGTGATCTTTCCTCTGCCTTTTCCCTCTTACTGTTCTTTGAACTTTAATGTGGTTTTCATTCTTTTCTCATGCTACTTTGAGTCCATGAATCCAATCCAGCTGAAAATCTGTAGAGCTCCACATTACGGCAGTTCGCCTGTATACTCAGCCAACTCTTGCCATTTGAGAGGGAACTCAAAGGATTTCATTATGTTGATGCAAGAACAGCACATTATCAGTCACAAATGTAAATGTGTGGTTCCTTCTACATTTTGAAGACAATGGTGAAATTCAAGAAAATCAGGCGGAGGAAGCTAGTCCCAGAAAAATCCAAAGTACTGTAAATCAAAATTATATTCCTTCATTTATGTTTTTATAGTAAGATGACTTTGCCTACATGACAATAATTATAATAGCATGTGAACCTATGCTACTAACAAATGAACCTCTGGGTAGATACCAATGAACCAACACAGTTATCTTTGGTAGAAATCTCAATATTGTACAAAACATATAAAATATTGTTATGGCATTGAGGGCGTAGTTTTAAGAAAATGTATTTAATATATTTAAATAATATATTAAATGGTAATAGCATTTTAATTTAATACTGTTAAAGTACAGTCTGAGAAAGCTATAAGACAATATAGCTAAAGTAATACAAGTACTGATTTCTGAATTTCCCCAAATTTGAACAGCATTTATAGGAGCGGCTTTTCTTTTTATTTGCATGTAAAAAAAAGTTATATGTACATGAGTTTTTCAATCCACCTGTACAAAAAAATCCTATGCAACTACTCCATAGAAAGCCACCATATAGCAAACTTGACATTCTTGTTACAAACATGCAGTGCTAACCTTCTTGGTACAGTAGTTTAAAGCAAGAAACCCAAAAACAGACTTACTCTCCACAGTGTCACTACTATGTTACCAGTTATTCAAATGAAGGTGGGAGATTTACGAAGACATAATCCCACTGGTTTAAAAAAGAATGGAAGCTGGGTGCCCTGCGTCCCTTCGGTTTGATATTCGCTCCATAAAGGCTTAAACAAGACAGGTCTGAGTTGAATATCCAACAGATATGGCCTCGCTTTGTATTCTACATTCATAACTCCACCCTAGCAGAGGAAGAAAAGCTAATTCTCTTCCTGTAAGGTCCTGAATGTAGAAGAGTTTTGCTTTTGATAGTTAAACTGTATTAAGTTTGAGACTGACCTCACACTGCAGTCAAGCATGTTATCAATTTCCTTTCAGTGATTTCCACTTATTACACAAGTAAGAAGTTTATGGGCAAATCTAGTGAAATCAGTATGTTATTCAAGTGACATTCCAGGCTTTAAAAAAAAAAAAGACTCTGGCTACTGTTCTACGGCTGTATATGAGGGTGTTCTCAACGAGGTCTATTATCCTCTCAATGCGTAGGCCATAACTCATACATAACGATGAGATAATTTGAGAGCTAAACTTTGGAAGTTTCTTAAGAAACCCATCACATTTGCCAAGGGTATGGTGTATTTTTTAATCCTTACCTATAACACTTGTATTCCTCAGTTTATGAATGCATTTACTAGAACATAAAAAAAAAAAAAACCCATCACAAAACCCACAGGTCTGAAAGTAACTCAGATCAATTTACTCTTCAAAAAAATGGGTAAGGGGGGGGGGGACGGGAGGAAGAGGGGAAGGACAGAGAATTCATTACTTTAGTCAGGAAAAACCTGAGCAAACAGAGCCTGCTCTAAGGTCTACAAACCTTCAGTTTCCACCAGACAGATTGCAGCTCTCCAGACAGAAACTCAAATTCTGCAGATGTTCAAGCTTTCTCCTCCCAGAGCAAAGATGGTTGCTCCAGGCACAGGTGCCTGGAGACTTTGGGTTTTGCCAGTAGGTCTCAGTGAGTGGATCTCTCCTCTGCCCAGCCCCTGGCCTGAGTACCCAAGCCCCTAGAATCTCAGCTGCTGCCCGTTTCACTTAGCTTTCTCTTTCCCTGGTTGGCCTGGTCCTCACAGAGTATCATCCTGGCTCCTCCGTGGCTCCTTCACTCAGCCATCTTTGTCCCATGTCTCCACATGAATCACACAGCTCTCTGCTGCTGTGCTCTTCCCTCTCCAGGGGAAGCCCAATCCTGGTCTGTCTTCCAGCTTGTTCTTAAATTTCCTGGCTAGCCCCAGGCCAATGAGAGCAGGCTTCTCCTGGCACATGATCCCAGGCCTCTGGAAGAATGCCCCTCTCCCAGGCCCCGGACTCGTCTTCTGGGGTACTGGTGGCCACATGGCTTGTGAGTGCTAGGCACCTAATTTTTTTTTGATGGGTGCTGAAGCCCTGGAGCACCCATGGAGTTGGTGCCAATGGCTCCAGGAGAAAGATAATCTGGGCACAACCATGGTTAACTTGGTCCCAGGAAAATTTCTTCACGCTTTTCCTTTGCTTAACTCCTTCCAGGGACCAGTAGGAGCACAGCCGTAGAAAAGGCTCCCATGTCTTTGAGAGACTGGGGTCACTGGTCTATAGAAGTCACAGGTGGCAGCTGCTCCCCCTTCCTGTAGATGAGAGCAGTGGAGGAGCAGCCACCAGCCACTTCCACCTGCTTCTCACAG